ACTGCTGTTAAAAAAACAACAATAAAAATAGATATATAAAAAAACAATAACACAGAACTTTCAGAATATTAACCAGAAATTTTTTTCTATCATTAAAAAAATAAAAATAGAATAATAATCCATATCTTGTTCAGATTTGCAGGTCATAAAAGGAAAATGATTTTTTTTTCTTCTTGATTCGGCTTTTTTTGGGAATAAAAAAATGAAATTTGGCAAAGAAAAAAAACATTTTTCTGCTCTCACATCAACAAACATATACTTTTTAATAAAAAAAAAAGACTTAAGGACATGATTCATAAATAGAGATAATCTTGTAATTCCCTCCATTTTGATTAGATTCAAAACTAATTTCTGTATCAAACAACTTGCAGCACATTTTTTCCCATTCTTATGCATGATAGCCATTTCAGCTCTGTCACTCTGACATGTCTGTGTCACATTTAAATCCCGTCGGAAGATGGACTGCCTTAGGCAAACAACATATAATGAATATACAATTTGATCACCAGGAAAGTCAGGGGGCCACAGAATTATTTAAAATTTTGGAAAATTTATCATGGGTTTTGTAGCTCTCAAGCTCCACACGTATACAATACTGTTGCAAAATTTACAAAACTGCAACTTAAATATGGCAGTACTGACACAAAAGTAGGATCACTCAATCTCATGCAACACTATGAGAACACTCTTTCTGCACTGATAAAAGAATCACTGATCTTACGATGCCCAACATCTGAAACATGAAGATGAATTGATGCTTTGACCTACTGTCTGGCTAAGTCAGCCAAAATAGCCAACCACTTTGGGACACTTGCATAACATTTAGATAATATATTTAATTTTGTAAAAAAATAAATAAATAAATAGTAACAATAAAATAAAAAAAAGATATGGAAAACAAACAACGAGGCAGTGAGACTATGCAAAAATAATGCACCTATCATGAAGAAATTAAAAACCTAATTCCAGCACACTTATCCCAGACCACCAAACCATTCAAACTGGATGCACACATACTTCAAAGATGCTACAGAACTTGATGTTCTACAAAACCCCACTCATTTGCTCATGATTATAACAGTGGAGCATGCATTATGCCATACACTCACATATGCAATAAGGTCAAAAAAACATTAGCTTTTTAAAATAAAAATAAAAAATTAATAAATAAAATTTAAAAAATACATCAGTTAAAATCAGAATAGGAAGGTCAGGCATCACAGTAATCAGTAATCAGTTTTGGTCACAAAAAGGCTGATCGTGCATCTACTTTAACCATGGCTTAAATAGCTATTTCCTATGAATATATGCAAAAGTTTAAACATTTATGTGAGAAAGTGAACACTGACAACAGAAGCTGCCTGGCAATAATCTGTCACTGTAATGAAAAGCGCACATGCGGCATGTGATGTGTGAATGATATATTGTGACTAAATGCAGATAAATCAGCAGCTTCTCCAGTTACACTTTTGAAACCATGATGTCTTGCATCAATTGAAATAGATCAATGTAGGAAAGAGTCTCTGCTCCTCTTTTTTTTTTTTTTTTTTTTTTTTGTTTCGAGCTCACTGAAACGATTTAATAACCCCGCTCCTTTTCTGCTTATGTCATGTCTGGGGGAAAGTAGCAAGGCAAGGGAGCCGATGAAGTGAAGACGAAGCAAAGTCAAAAAGTAAAGACTAGACTTGGAAACTTTGGAGGAAAGCTATCTTATGTAATAGACAATGATATGGAGAGACAAGGATGTGAAGGAAGAATGAAAAAGCGCAAACACATTCTTCAGGATACAGTTAGCCCACAGTGGATTCCACATATCACAGTCTATAAGAGGCCAAATCAAATAGGAAAGTATCTAACAGCATTCCTCTGGAGCTTCAGAATCTCACTTCTAGTGTTTCACATGTGGAAGAGGAGAACACACAGAGAAACAAATTCCCTTTACTTAATTCTACTTTTTATGACTTTCAGTTCAACTTCACATTCCTTCCAGACTCATCCTAGTAATGTTCTGCAGCACATCTCCTTAAAAAGACTGCAGGCTGGGCCTGACATTACTCTTATTATTCCTTTTTCAAGATGTATTTACATCTACACCAAAACCATTTAGTCCTTGAGAACACAAACTTGAGAATACCAAAGTGCTGACGTTGAATATGACATAAATTCAGTAAAAAGGGTTATAAAGTTGACTCTGCAGATATATTATGAGAAAAAACATGCCAAAAACTTAAGGTTTGCTTTTAAGCTAAAGATATTAATGCTTTCAGCTGCAAGTAGGGAAACATAACTTGTCTATTTGGTGGCAGGATTCGCAGACTTTGTGAAGTGACCTTTACATCAATTACAAGCTGTAGTTCAGAGTCAGACCACATACAATAATTGTTAGGTCAGGTGTCACTAAAGACATTTAAGGTAATTGCTCTTAAGCAAAGAAGTGTACCTGACCTTACTCATCATAAAAGATCAGTCTAGGGCAAAATTATTACAGCCAGCACATGCTCTTAGTGGTCCTCTGACTACCTTTGTTTAAAGAGTTGTGGAAGCTCTTCCTCTGTCAAACACAACAGGGGGGGGAAAGGTGTAGTTGTTTGATTCCTTCCCACATGTACATGCTTTCATCCAGCTTGGGAAACAGAAAGGTTGTGACAGGATATTCCAGATGGGGGCTGAAGAGATGTTTCCAAAAGGAGACAGTTAAAAACTGTCGCTTTCTTTATAGATTCAATAAAGAATCTTACACCTGTGTGGCAAACCACCATCGATCCATCATTCTGTGGAGCCCGATCCAATTTAGAGAGCTCAGGAGCCGCAGAGCCCCACAGCCTTATCCTAAACCAGGCCACAGCCAGCCCAAAGCCTGCTTACCTTCATCCCCTAAAGTCAGCAGGTGTGTCAGTGCGCCTTTATGGCTGTTTGTGTTTGTATATGTGTGCTTACGGAGACAGCAAGCCATGCCAAAAACACCTTTGCTGCTGGCTCAAGTCAAAGTGAGCTGAGCTGTAAGGGTGGGTCTGGAGACAAGAGGGGAAAAAAAAGAGGTTGAGAAAGAAACTGAGGAATAGAAGACAAGCCAGACCAGAGATTACAATAACGTATAAAAAAAACAAGAAAAAAAAAATATTTTAATGTTGTAAATAGTGACTTTTTGTAATCCTCGAGGTACTTAACCAAATCTTCCCCTTCATTCATGGCCATATCTTCTGATTTAGATGTTCACTTTTTAATTCTCCTCCCTGCTTCCCTGGAGTGCAGCAAAACCCAAAGCTCTTTTATTAAAGGGTATTTAAAATATCTAGGCTGGGTGGTATGACAGTGAAAAAACCTGGACCTCTGACTAAACTTCAACACCTCCCAAATAAACAAAGAGGGTCATACGGCTTTCACTCACTCCAGCGACTAAACCCAGGGCAATTAAGGCCTGAATCTCTGTAGGAGTAGAGGAGAGAGAAAGGAAATGGGGTGAAGGAGGGGGTCCGTGGCGAGGCAGCAGCAGCGGAGAGGCTCCATACCAATAACAGGCAATTATGTATGGGTAGGGCCATTGCCTGGCCATGAGAGTATAGAAGAAGACAGCAGGGATATGGGATGGTAGGGAAATGAGGAGGAGTGTTATTTAGGAGGCAGATGGCAGAGAGGGGGAAATTAAGATGAATGGGCACAGAGAGGGCTGAGCTGGTGCTGGGGCTGGGCAGAGAAAAGTAATTAGCTGTGGTTGCTTTGGGAGGCTGGCAGTGAGTATGATGCTTGCAGTGACAAGCAAAAGCCTTGAGCTTTATTAGACAACAAGGATGTGTCTGAAGCTGCCAGCAGGGGGCAGTTGGGTCAGCAACCTTTTAGTACCTTCTTACCTTGCCACCACACCATGGGGTCTTTTCACAGCATGGACTGTGAACAGGGGCTCCGTTTTAGTAGGCACTGTATTTTTTACTCTAATCTTCTCTAGAACAAACATATTTCAAGCTTGTTCCCTGTTATAGTCCCTCTCTCACTTGCACACACATCCTCGCAAGAGGGAGTCCAGTCTGTTTCGCCCACACAACTGCACAATCTCACCCTTACAATCTGGCCTTCTGCATCTTCCGCAAACCATCTCTACTGTTACAGTTCCATCTATCCGTCACTTTCCTCCCACCTTCCCCTGTGTCCCTTTCCAATCTAATTTCAAATATACTCTAACAGAATAACAGAGCAACACCTTTTATCACATCTATCTATGATGTGGGTGGATTGTGCGCAAATAATTTCGTGCTTGCGCCAAGCCCACTGGGATTCCGATTACAACTAATAAGATGTAATAAGAGTAACAAGATCATTCTTGAAATACCTAAGTGGATGATCTCTTTAAAAAAGAAAGCTGAAAAACACATGAAACAATATCGGTTCACAAATATAATTATTACACAGATTTAATGGAAAGTAATTACATATACATTCAAATAGCGATGGAAGCTCATACACTTACTTAGAAATGAAGCCTCTAAATATGAGGGTATGATTTTAGCTATGCTTTCTCTCCTGAATAGTTTCCACCTTATTTCTGTCACAATCTTTCTTCAGTTTTGAAAACAAAGCTTTAGACAAGTCAGCATACACACAAAAAAGAAATTCAAGACAAAAATATTCTATTTAAATAATGCCAAAGATTAAATGTGCATTCAAAGACCAAAGAATTTACTGAAAGCACCACTCAAGAGAAAGTTCAGAGCAGCCCACACACCACTCTCAATGCCACCACTACCTCTCTCAGTTTGCATGCTCCACCAACTCACTCAGGCCGATTTTCTTTCAAATGCTCGAAAGATGTATGCAAGGTAAAAGAAAAAAAAGAAAGATGTGAAGCACAAGATAAGCAGGGCATATCGACAGCAGGACAAATTTGCTTTTGTGACACGTGCAAGACTTGCTTAGATGCAGATTCGCATTGGTAGATGAAGAAGAAAGCTGAGAATGCTCAGAGCTTTGAAAGTGTTCTTTCGACAACTTTTTTTTTTTTTTTTTACCATAGTTAACGGGTCTGAGAACCTGGCGGAAGGAGCTGGGGCTGATCGTCTGCTGGTAGTTATCTGTAGGGAGTGCAGTGGACAAACAATGGACTAAGAGCAACAAACCCAGTGGTGAAAGACATATTCCACAGCTCAACGTTAAAATGTTTGCTCACAAGAAAAGCAACGTCTCAGATTTCATTTATTGAATCTCTCTAAAAAAAACAAGAAGAAATAAAAGTTTTTACATGAATTGTTCAGTCTCTCTTGCGATTAACTGAAAATGAGAGTCCAACTATAAAACTATCAGGATGCATTCATTGTGGTTTCCCACTAAAATTAACAGGAAAAAGGACAGAAAAAATGACCTTTATAACTACTGATTTTCAAACATATGACCTGAATTAGAAGAGGAGTATTAGATTTAATGGTCTGTATTTGGGGATAAATGTGAGATGTAAGACTTACCTCTGGGTCTTGGCGCTCTCTTCCTACGCTCTCTGAATGCAGCTCCAGACTGCAGGGCTTCCAGCAAACTATCCATCACACCTGTCTCATCATTCTCTGAAAAAGACAAAGGAGGAAGAGAATGTTAAAAAGAAGAGATATTCTGAAACAAAATCATACAGCACAGCACAACAGTTTCTTTTTGTAGTAAGTGTAGCTATGCCGAGTGCAACAACATATAACTGTTAAAGTTTTAATTCTAGGCTTGCTACATGACGCAATCCAAGAATGGTGTACAGGCCCTTGGCAATGAACTGAGTAAAGCCACAAGAGGGAGAGAATATCAAAACTTCGACACAAATTCACTTTTTTATTTATTTATTTAATTTTTTAAAAGAACTGGTGTATGCATTGAATTTAAACAATGTGTCCGTGTGAATGTGTGGGTTCTCTCTTGGTACTTCAACTCCCCACAACCACATTGCTTGTTAGTTGGTCACCTTGATAAATGCCACACACTAAACCAGTGGTTCTCAAATCCAGGCCTCGAGAGCCGCCGTCGCGCAACATTTAGATGTCTTCCCGGTCCAACAAACCTGAATCAAATGGCTGAATTACCGCCTCAGTACGCAGTGAGTCCTGCAAATGACCTGATTATTTGAATCAGGTGTGTCATCATGTAAATTGCTCCGTTGCTGGAATGTGCTATAAAATATAAACTAGACTTGATTCCTTGCGCTGCTTTATGATGCACTGGCAACCAGGGTGTAACCATTGTTTGTCATAAATAAATGGTAGGGCTTCTTTTTTAACTCAAGCAATTCCTGTTTCGTAAATCTGGTAATCATTTATTTTTTTGTTTTATTTTTTATTTATTTTTTGGCATCTTCATCTTTAAACGTCAAACAGTTTGAAAGGAAACTGTGGGTTCACTACGGTAAATAAACCCACCCTCTGATTGGTCCAATGTGACCCAGGAATAGGTAAGAAAAATAAACCAAGCATGTTCTTGTTTTCAATCAGTGGCTTTTTAATATGTATGGAAGAACTGATTGGCTTAGCAGACTGATAAATCTTTTTTATGTATAATTTGCATTATTCTGGGAAGTCTGCACTGCGACGGACTAGCAACCTGTCCAGGGTGTACCTGCCTCTTGTTCTTAACGTTCGCTGGAGATTGGAACCAGCAACCCTCCCGAACCCATTAGGGACAAGAGTGTACAGAAAATGAATGAATGAATGAATGAATGGATGGATGGATGATGGATGGATGGATGGATGGATGGATGGATGGATGGATGGAAAATCAGCAATTCACTAAGAGCATACTGGTGTTTGAGCACTGTTTAGGAGCAGGACACATGAGGATGGCAGGGAACAAGAAGCTCCATGTAATAACATCAATAAGTGGAAATATAGCTCCACATAAGTAGTTTGCTGCTGCAGCTTCAGGATTTAAAGAATCACATATTGGAAAATTGTTTGAAACCTAATTGACAATCAGTCATTTTAAATCAGAACAGATGGCTTTGGCATTGAACATAAGACATGTTAGTTGTTGATCAACTGGTGTAGAGTGCTAAATGTTATGAGAAAAGAACAGACTGCAGACACACATAATGGAGACTAAAGTATGGCTGCCACAAATTTGCAAATGACTCAACTGGCTGAATAAAACAATTTCTTGAGCCAATATCGCTTGCGTCAATTTTACTTTACACAACTGCATACTGTTCTGCTGCCCTTTTATGGCTTCATGGGGAAGGTCACATGTTTCTCTGGGGACGCTTATTGTGGTTGCATAACATGCTTCTGTTTAAGGTAACTGTCATAGAGAGAAGGAGAAAAGGAACATAAAAGCTGAGGAAAAAGGCGCCTAATACAAAGAAGAAGCAAATCAAAATTAGCTTATTTACAGAACAATCATTTCTCCAAGACATTTGAGCCTCCCATTCTGAAAACGGCAGTCGCTGGGTCTGAGACAATACTCTACATTGAACCCTGTTGAGCTAAACTAAAAACAACTCAAATGGTACTGAGCTATATTCATCTGGAGTAGAGAAGGGGGACCAGATGTCTCTGATTTCCTGTGACAGTCCCTGTTTTAGACTAAAGCTGTCCTCAATTTTAGATATGAGCTCATGTTACCTCATATCTAACATGATCGGGAAGTCAGAGTTCTTGATTAGGAACTCTGACTACCTGATCAGAGCTCATTCAACTCTTACTAGAACTGCGCAATATATCGCAAATATATTGTCAGCATATCAATGCATACAGTTTATACACACATCTATTGATTCAATGATTAAGTAGTAGAAAAGCATTTTACAACACTAACAGCAGGTACAAATGCCCAAAACAAGGTAGGCTGGAATATGCAAGTGTGCAAGTGGATTTGAGTGGGCACGATTGTGATGAAAACATGGAGTCAGAATGTCACGTGTTGAACAAAGCTGGTGTGTTTCTTTTAATGTAATTAGTACAGGAATTAGTCGATGGAGTACCTCTGTATTAAATTTGGTAGTTTCAGCTGTTTACTAAGGCCTTTCCTCAAAATGAATTAAATTTGTTCAGAACAAAACAACATCAAGAATGTTTCGTCTTGACATGAATAAAATGACTCCAAATTAAACATACATTTGAGTCTTATAGTGTTTACTTTGACATAGGTTTGCTCAAGGCTGATGAGGGCAGAAATGGAGTGCGTTATTGACCTCAGAGATGTCTACAAGCTTCTCCCCTGACTCCTTTAAATCTTTTATGAGACATAAGCTATCACCACCAAAGTCTAAATGTACAATGTAGCCTCCAAACTGAAAGTTTCATCTTGTGTCATGCACAAGGCAGACATGAAAAAACTGTCAATCACCACCAACATACACCGTCCCTTGACATCAACACTCCTTTATACTTAAGATTCTGTATTGAGGGCAGAATGTCCCCTTGGTACTAGGAGGTGGTTATATTAAATCCCAACGCAGGATTGTGAAAACACCAGTACAAATTTATAATGACCCACTTCCTTGTCTGCTTGGTCCTACGTGCACATTTTTGTGTTTTTCCATTTGCAACCCCCACTCTCCTCTCTTTTGCTGATACGTGCCTAGTTCTTCATCATTACACTGAGTGGAGAGGCAGCTACAATTCCTGAGTAAACCAAACACTCGTCGGCGTTCAAATTTGTCTCCACTGCTGCTGTAATTTATCACAGGCACTGAGCTTTAAAATTTGCCACAAGACACACACACAAAAAAAATAAAAATACAGACAGCATGCACAGAAAGCAAAAAAAGAGCAGATCAATCTATCGCAACCTGCAGTGAGCGCCTTCTTGTGCAGAGCTCCGTTTGACTCCAGTTTTCAAGAACATGAAACATTTTGTGTGCCTCTGGAGGCGAGGAAAAACGAAGCCCTCGCAGATCTCCTGCCTTAGGAATATATGCTAGTAAAAACAGTCCAATTTTACACTCGACTCAGAAGCAATTCACACCGGCTGCGACACAAAACTCCCTCACAGAACACAGACAAAAGGTAAAGACCAAAAGAACATATATTTATATGCTCAATGCCACATTTTCACTAACTGAAAGATCACAGTCGTGTCACATTGGTAGTAATGGTGGAGGGACACAAGGCAGGAGAGTATTAGTCAAGCTAGCTGCTGTGAAATGGCTTTGAAACAGCCCTTCAGTCTGTGAAAAGATGTGATGTTAGGAACGAAAAAGAGGCCAGAGAAAAGGACGTCAGCAAAAAAATATATTCAAACCACTACAGCTAAGCTACTGATTGGTGCTTTGATGCAAGTAACTTATTTCTATTTTTGTTTGAGTTGATATGGAGACCGTCATAATTTGATTGCGATTTAAATGGAGACATGCTTTATATATGGAAAAAATAAAAGAAGACAACATTCTAACCGGTTAATATTTGTTACAGATGCATAAATGGTGTTTACCTCTTGTTCACAACTTTGCTTTTGAAAACCTATAGCAGTATTCAACACCTAAGCATATAAATGCCCAGGCTATTAAGGCAAACTAAAGAACAAAAAAACAATGAAAAAAATATTGGGATACAGTATATGCAGATTAATGTGCTAGTGTAAGTGTACATGGGAAGGTGTTCGATCTACCAAAAGAAGGGGTTTACTTAAAAATAACAATACAAAAAGGGTGCAAAATCAAGATGAAGCTGGACCTTCACCTCAGGGGGAGAGGGAGCTGCAGCTACCCTCCTGTCTGAAGTGAAACTTCAATCACCATCTATTTAATCAGGGCAAGTTCAGGGCAGAATTGTTCTATTGTCTGGACAAAGAGTCTGTGTGTCGCTGTCTACTCTCTATTCAGTCCAGGACTAATGTCTCCAGCCACTTCACTCAACAGCACGTGGCACTTATCACCAGGACAATGACCAAGTTGTAACAGCGTGTAACTGAGGTGGGCCAGACAAAAAAAGTAGGGGCAAGGGGAGAAAAAACAAAAACACAAAAACACACACACACAAAAAAAAAAACAGTGTTAACAGAGCTGGGATGGCAAAGTTATGGAGAGAAAAAATAACATGTCTGACTACTGTGGTCTCTCAGATACTTGGAAGACAAATGGTACAAAAAGACAGTCAGTCTTTCTTCTACTTTAGTGAATACCTTTTATTGGACTTTACTAATATATTGCCAACAAACAGCAAGTAATTTTTTTTATGAAGACAGGGAGAAACTCAACAGAGCCTGAACTTTGTATCTGACCACTATCACCACAGTAATAAGAAAATGTTCTTATGCACTTTTGTTAGACCTTGGTTAAAATGATAATAATAATAATAATAATAATAATAATAATAATAATAATAATAAAGATAACATCTTTAATTATTCTGAGTTAAAATCCCATTTATTAAACTAGTGCAAAATGTTTCAGCCTCCAACTAAACAACGCCTGATAACGTTCTGTTGATATATTTGTCAGTGATTTTAGGTAAGATGCACCAACAGAGCTATCAAGCTCTTTTGGTTGAATTTTGTGCTGCCATGTTTTTTAAATCACTGCCTTACGTTTCAATGTGTGACTTGCATAACTGCATTTTACGCTGTTCACATTATTTTCAAATTAACATTT